AAGGATTATCAAGAGGTTGCACTGACCACCGACCAGCAGACGGCTCCAGAGGAGGCGATGCTGGACGAAGTAGTGGCGACTGGATCGCAACACAACGATCTACAAAATGTGTGTCTCAAACGTCGGCGGATTGGTTGGTGGCATCTAATCGCACATCTAAGCTTAAAAATTGGCAAGGACCGGGACTGGTTGCTGTGAAGAGAGAATCACGGTCTTTCTGCCGAGGAGCAAAGGGAAAGACACCACCTACCTGCTGAGTCTTACCCAGGTTCAGAACTCCAATGTAAGGAACTCGAGTTTACGAGTCATCAGCTCGAGGGAGGAAGGTCATGGTAAGGTCCTCACAATAGGAATTGACCTCGAATCCAAGAAGGCAATAGACAAAGAGGGGGTCAGCTTGATTTAGACCTCTATTATATCCCATATCTATTGTATAGATACGGGTCAACAACGGTATCAGGTCTAAGGACAGACCAAGTTAAAGAGGTCGAGAAAATGAAGCTAGATTATCCAGCCTCCACCTCACAGGTACCTCAGCCGGTGGCAAGCTCCTCGACTGCGAAGAGCACGGAAGGCCAAACTTCAACCGTGGAAGGGTGTATATATATCCTTGCAGGAAGAACATCTGTTGTCAGAGGAGGATGGGAAAAACCTTGTCCCCCCTACAACAGGAAAATGCATGATAGGTTATAGACTGTGTAAAGAGTTATAACTCTATAGGAAGAGAGCACAATAGATCTTTAAGGTCGCAGTGATTAACCCCCTCTCACTCATTCTACATTCTACACTATACAGGGTGAGTTTTAAATAAGTGCAAATATTTTCAGGGCTGGTAGATCTCGATAAAAGTAACATATTTTCTCTCTACCGTTTTTCAAATAAGGCCGAGTTATTTTACTTTGAAAATAAAAAAAATTTCCTTAAATTTTGAGAACTAATGGATTGTTTCTGGGTTTTCTTTTTTATAAATTTAATCTACTATGTTGACGTATTTAATCTACTAACTATGTTGACGTATTATCTAGGAATTATCTTTTTAACTAAAAAGTATGAACAAATTTCAAAAAATTTTATCAAAAACTTCCAATATATACATCACTCACCTAGTCCGCACTCACTTCCATCGGAATATACTACAAGATCAGTGGCGGCTCATCAGGGTAGGCAAGGTAGGCGGCGCCTACCCTAAGATTTTGGCAGAATTTAAGCGATTTATTACATTACATTATTTACTATTAGTGTTGCCAATATATAAAAATACTGTTAATACACGGAAGTGTGTTTTAATAATCAATATTATTTTAATATTTGTGGTCTTGTATATTAACATATTCACTACCGCTGGCGTATTGGAAAGTGAAATTATTCATGCGATTAGATTAATGAAAAACGACAAAACTCCAGGGTCTGATGATATGTATTGGGAAACGTTCCACTTAATTAATGAACAAAACTTAAAAACTATAGTACAGTTTTTCAATAACATCTATGACACCGGTCACATCCCTGAAGACTGGCTTCGTTCTACGTTTATCACGCTACCCAAGTCAAGTAACGCAACTTCGTGTAAAGAGTATCGTCTTATTAGTCTAATGAGCCACTTTCTTAAGCTCTTTTTACGGGTACTGCATACAAGACTCAAAAAATGTGAGGAAGTAAGTGGAGAAAGTCAATTTGGATTTAAGAACGGCTTTGGTACTAGAGAAGCCATATTCAGTCTTCAAACTTTAGTACAGAATTGCCAAGATCAGAGAAAAGATGTCTTCATATGCTTTATAGACTATGAAAAGGCGTTCGATAACGTTAAACATAACCTCCTTATATCATACCTCAGAGACTTGGGACTTGATGGAAAAGATATAAGGCTCATCAGTAATTTGTATTGGAACCAAAAAGCTGAAATTCGTATACATAGCGTGGGAGTAACAGAAGATTTTGAAATAAAAAAGGGGGTAAGGCAAGGGTGTATTCTATCTCCAATGTTGTTCAATTTATATGTGGAAAGAGCATTCACTGAGTCAATCTCCGATAGTCCCATTGGTTTGAAAAAATGGTATTCCAATTAATAATATCCGATATGCGGATGACACAGTGATATTGGCAGACAATGCAAATGATCTCCAAATCCTTCTAAATAAGGTTAACAGTGAAAGTCAAAGACTGGGTTTAAACATAAATACTACAAAAACTAAATTTATGGCTGTTAGCAGAAACAATATTCCGAACACCAGAATTTACTTAAATGGAGAGGTCATCAGGCAGGTCACACAATTTAAATATTTGGGATGCATGGTTAACCAAACATGGGATCCGGATCAGGAGATCAAATGCAGGATCGAACAAGCAAGATCTACTTTTCTGAGACTGCGAAGATTTCTCACAGATAGGAATTTGAACTTCGGCCTTAGATACAGAATGGTGAAGTGCTATGTCTGGTCCGTTTTGTTATATGGTGTGGAAGCATGGACACTGAAGGTAGCAACAATAAACCGAATTGAAGCCTTCGAAATGTGGACCCTACGACGAATGCTAAGAGTGCCTTGGGTCGACCGTGTTAGGAATGAAGACATTCTCAGAAGAGCTGGTCTGGAACAACGTGAACTCTTCGAAATCATCAAGAAGAGGAAAATAGCCTATTTGGGACACATACTACGTGGAGAACGCTATCACTTTCAGCGTCTGATTCTCCAGGGTAAAATAGAGGGGGGGCAAAAGGGGGATAGGACGAAGGAAGCTATCCTGGCTGAGAAATATTCGTCATTGGATAGGCATACAGGACTTCCAAGCACTCCAAGTCGCGGCAGTTAACAGAACCATCTGATGAGGAAGAAAAAGATGAACGCCTACGCAGGAATCTGCACGGCACCTTAAGAAGAAGGCGCACGCTGACCGCTGACCACAGTCATGCACTGCGTTCGAAAACAAAATAATTTTGACCGTCGGAGTTGTATTGTATTAAGGCGGGGCTTAGGCGAAATCTCCGGTCGCCTTCGCATGAAATCGTGGAGACTCGGTAGGCTTAGAAGTTAAGGGGATATTCCCGATATTTCATAAGGAGATATATCACATTTCGTTAAGGGGATATTTCATATGATTCATTATACGTAGCATTTAAAACTTTTATATGAAAATTCAAAAAACGTTTAAAGCAAATTGGAAACATTTTTCGGATTTGTTCGAGATTATTAAAAATGATATAACCGGTTGTATTTCAGAACACGCCACAGAAATAAAAGAATCCGAAATAAAAAAGCGCGTTATTTTATTCGGTGCAAGAAGACGATACAACAGATATTACAGAAAAGTATCTGTGCTATTTCAATTGGATATATGTTAATAAAAGCGGCTAAGTCAAATATCTTTGCGAATTTTATTTTATGAGATATTAGATAACATTTTTATACGTTTAGAAATAAGGTTCGCAGATAGGTACTCGTATGTCTCAATTATTTTTATTTATCTCTTGCGGATCCGAAATTTAAAGAATCCTATAAAAAATTTCCAACGCATTTAACATCTGATTGAACAAACTTGTTATACTGATACATTTCCAACTTCCAACGCATAATAGTGATTTAACAAACAAAAAATGTTTTTGACCAACATAAATTAATGCATAAATTGCAGGTATTAATAATAGATATGATAATTTCGATTATAAAATAATTTAAGGAGAATAATCCTGGAAAAATATTTCCAGAGGCTTCCAAATTGTTTGTTTTGTTTGTTACTACACCATTTACAAGTACTTTGCTTGAGAGACATTTTTCATGTTTGAAATGCATTAAAATTTATAGTAGAGATTCCATGAAAAACAAACGTTTATCGCCACTTCAACACACAGCTCTTCAACAATCTGATGATTTTACTGATATAATAATTAATAACTTTTCTTTATTAAGAGACCGATTCATCAATTTAATACATAAAACACAATTATTCTTTCTCTCAGTACTACCAATTTTTAAGTTTGTGTAAATATATAAAAATAAAATAAATTCTATGATGTACTCCATAGTAATAGATAAAAAATAAGAGAAAAAGTAGATTAATAAAAACTATACTTGTACATTATGTCATTACGTTGAATGCTGTTATTTTGCTTTAGTTTTGTCCTAAATATTTTTGAGCTATGTTTTTAACCCAAAGATAACATATATTTACAAACTGGGCTAGGGTATTATGTAAATTAGGGGGGGTGGGGGCAAATAGACGCAACCAAAATTTTGTCGTTTACCCAGTCACACGGGTCACGAGCCGCCACTGTACAAGACTCACCTTTTTATGTGTATGGCTGTAAAATAAGTGTTTAAAGCGTTGGCCGCAGAAGGATTGGTGTCTCCACCGTACATCAAATCAGCCTTGTCACGAATTCCCCCATTAGGTTGCTATTGTTTCAATCAACGCTATAACGGTATAATTCTGTGATGATACTGTGAATCTAAATAATTTAAGATACTCGATACGCCTTCATACAGGAAATAAAACACGGGTAAGTATAAAGAAAAATTACATTTATTATTATTTTTCAACTAGTTGAACTTATTCATAACATTAAATTATTTAAATTTATATAGAATAAATATAACAAATGGATAACTGCAATTTTCATTTACTTATGCATAAGTATTTATTATTAACTTTGAACTTAATAGAGGAAATTCATATAAAAAAATCAAATAACGAAATACAATAAAAGAAAGCACATAAGTAATGAGCACCAATATGCTTTTTCGATAAATTAATAGATTAAATAATAACAAGTAAGTAAACACGGAGTAATTGATCACATGGAAGAATATCATCATCACTATCGATATTTTCAAAATAGATGATAAAAAATTGTATTTTTAAAGTTTTGGGGTATTTTAATTTCTTATGTTCTTTTTTAAGACATACAGTAACAAAGAGCGAGTATTTAAAAAAAGTTATTGCAGCCACTTTCGGCCAAATCTAAGAGCGAGAAATTACTGTTTGGCCTAACTACAAAAGTCCTCCTCAAATTTCAAAATTTTATCTGTTAATGATATATTAATATATCGTTGGTATATCAATATATCGAGTTATTCATACTTGCTGACGTACCATTATTAGTTGATATATCAATAGTTATTAATACAACGATAACTGCTACTACTAGTAACACGATAGTGATCGAAATATCTACGACTATCGATAATTACCAAGATATCGATACCTAAAATATATCGATTGTCCATCCCTAACAGAGTCGGTATAATTCTCGTTGCATTTCGTGTGAAATAATTACTAATCAGATCTATTGGAAGAAATCAAACTCAGTTAGTTTTGAACTAAAACTGTTAGACATTTTCAAAATCTATTTTCTTTCTCGGTCTACCCCTTCCTCTTTTAACATTTTTTTCTAACATATTTTTTGACAATAGTTCTAAAGTGCCCTGTCCGTATTTTTCAAACTGGTGCTTGTATTTGTGTGATAAACGTTGTAAATTCTTATTCTTAACATTTATTAATCGATTATTATCATGCCATCTTACTTTCCAACCTATTAAATTATCTCCAATTCTTTTGGGAAACTCAAATGCACTATTCTGTAATTCATTATCTTTATTAATTATATTGCTTGCAGATTTACTTTCAAGATCTTTATTCATCTGACTTTCTTGATTGTTTATCTTACAATTTCTTTTTTGCAGTTCGAATGTACCATTACTAATTCTTTTATAAATGTCAAAATGCTTTTCAGAAAATTGGTGAGTAGTCTCTTTCTCTGATTGATCTGTAATTGATTTGTGTTTAGAACCTGTAGCACGTTCTAAGCTGTTTAGTAAATTAGTTCCTGTGTTAAAGTTTAACATATCTTTAGAGAGTAGTTCTAAAGTGTCCGGCCGGTATTTTTTAAACTGGTGATTGTATTCACGTGATGACAGTGGTAAATTCGTATTTTTAACAATTTTTATTCGATTACTGTCATGCCATCTTATTTTCCAGCCTGTTATATTATTTCCATTCCTTTCAGGTGACCGAAATGTACCACTCCGCAATTCACAATCAGCATCATTAGAATTCTTTTTTTCGTTTTCTACAGACACATTAATTATATTACCTGCAGATTTGCTCTTAGGACTATCCTTATTCATCAGACTTTCCTGATTTTTCACCTTACAATTTCTTTCAGGCAGTTCGAAAGTACCTTTACTGATACGTTTATAAACGTCAAAATTCTTTTCAGAAAATTGGTTAGTAGTCTCTTTCCCTGATTGACATATATGTGATTTATGTTTAGGGCTTGCATTACGCTTTAAACTTCCTTCTAAATGATTTCGTATAGGTAGTTTAAATGTATCATAACTACTCTTTTTATTAAAATCAGTAGACTTTATACTATATTTAGGAAATAACTCAATAGCAGCATTGCCCCTTTTAGGGTTATTCTTGGAAGTATGGTACTCTGCATTCTGCTCTATAGGTTTCTTTACGAATAGCCCAAAGTTATCATTACTGTCTTTACAATGATCAGGATTTATTATATTGGAATTGGAAATATAAAATGTCTCTTCTGATTGGTTGGTTTTAGGGTTATTAATGTTTGTATGATTGTCCAGACTCATTTCAATGTGATTTTTCTTTGGTAGTTCAAATGAACCACCGTGTTTTTTACTGCAAATATCGGGATTTTTTATATTATGCTGTAAAAACTGTTCAAAATCATTTGTTTTGCCAAATTTATGCAAATCACAGCTTCCGACGTTAAGATGCGTTTCTAGCTTATTTTTTGTGCGTAGTTGTAATGTATCCTGACCGTATCTTTTTAAATGGAGCTTACATTCGCCTGGTGACAATGGTAGATTTTTATTTTTAACGACACAATCATTATCTATGTTTTTTGACGTTTGTAGGTTTTCTAGTGGAGCAATTTCTATCTTTAAAATATCACAGACATTTTTAGTGGAATCCGTCTCAGATTGTTCCCCTAACAGTTTACAATTTGCTTCTAAGCTAGGAGACCTTTTAATACTTTTCAACTTTTCATCAGAAGATATAGAACTAGGCTTTTTAATATCATTCTCAGACTTTCTATAGCCATACCTATTTAAAAATGTTAAAGACCTTTTTATGGTATTTTGCTTTAAGTTGGCTTTAGGTTGACTTCGTTTGTTAACTATTCTTGAATTGATTTTTGTGCATGATAATTGTTTTTTGACCCAATATTTTTTTAGCCGACGTTTGAGAACCTTTTGAGAAAGTTTGGTTTTAATTATTTGTGCTTTTTCATGAGTTACAAGGTTGAGATTTTTTAAAAATGTTGTTTGGTTATAAGGTAAGGAAGTTCCAGGTGTGGTTGCGTGGTTTGGTGATAGAACTGTAACAAAAAATAATTATAAAAATATATCTAACCCGTACATCGTAGGAAATCCCATTGTAAATTTTGAAAAGGACAAAATCGATGATTTAACGCAAAAGTGGTATTAGACTTTTTTGAAGAGGTGTTAAAGTTATACTGTTATTTAGTTAAGTTATACTGTTATTTGCAAAAATGTACCTTCAAAGTACTAAAAATTTATAATACGGACCAGAGATAGTATATAAAAAGTACGATAGCTAGCAAAGTCGGAAAAACAAGTATTTTAAGACGTCTGGCTCTTTGATATATCTTCTATTATGCTCTCTAGAACAGCAAGCGGCCCGTCTGGCTGCCGGTAAACGTTGCGTTCCCTACTGCACATTGAAAGAAGATCCTATATTTTTATTAATCCTTTAAAATCTAGTATTGAATATCAACCGACCGAGTTTCCATAGCTCAGCGCGTAGAGGTTCTTCCTATCAAGTGAGGAGTCAGAGTTCGAATCCGGGTCAGTGCAAAAACTTTTTTATTTTATACGCACTGTGCTATGGAGACATGTTCGATTTATATTCCATACTAGAATTTATAGGACTAAATTAAAAAATATATATACATATATATATATATATATATATATATATATATATATATATATATATATATATATATATATATATATATATATATATATATATATATATAGGATCTTCTTCCGATTAGCAGTAGTGAATGCAACGGTTATCGGCAGCCAGACGGGCCGCATGCTGTTCCAGAAAGCATAGTAAAAGATATATCAAAGAGCCAGACGTCTTAAAATACTTTCTCGAAAACGTTGCTAGCTTTTAGACTAAAAGCTACTACAGTTAAAATACCGGAAAAATATGATTTTGTCATTGTCAATTGAATGTCACAATTTGTTTACAATATTTGTGTGGTTTGGAAACCGTGGTGGACCAGGAATACTGCGGATATATCTAATCCAGCAAAATGCCGTTTATCCATCGTAACTTTTTCAGATGTTGTGAAAATCATAATACGTTTATACAAAATTACTCTATTTGGCACCTTCACAAAAATTCTTGTAAACAAAATGTAACATTGAATTTGATAATGACCAAACCACATTTTTGCTGATATTTTAATTGTAGCTTCCTCTAGGCCGTATTATAAATTTTACTAATTTGAAGGCACATTTGTGTAAATCACTTTTAAATGCCTACTCCAAAAGAAACGACATTCTAGACAGAAGTACAGCTTTAACATCTCTTCAAGAAATTCTAATACAACTTTTGGGGAGTTATCTGAGGAGATATTTTTAATCGTTTCAAAATTTGCATGTGATTTCCTATGTCCCGTGTTCCGATGCAAAACAGTATAAATTATTACAAAAGGCTGTTATTCAAAAAGATAAGAAATATTTGAAGTTATGTATTTACCATACATACGCCTTTAAAAAAATTATTTACGACTTCGCTGTAAAATCAAGAAGGGAGCCAATATTTGAACAGTTCAAAATTTGCATGGGATTTCCTATGTTTCCAACGACGATGCACCACCCGGTATATTATTTATGGTATCCGTGGTAATACCAAAATTAAATTTATAGCATTGTAATGTTAATTCATTCTATATTCATAGTTATAGTGGAGTGCCCAGAGACTTTTACCTCGGAATTCAATTACTGTGAATTTATTAATGTGAAACCTTCTATTGTGTTTTATAGATAAAATACTAAAATGTTTACCCATATTTTTTTCGTTGCTTTTAATTTTTTATTTTAGTAATTTTAGTAAATTCTTAATTATTTCCTTCTTAATGTTTTGATTTTTTTAATTCTTTTTCTAAGTAAATTTATTGAAATAAACAAATCTAATGCATAAGCTCTACCTATTCTGCTTATATTCTAATCATTGTTTTAATGGGCCGATTTTGATGATTTTTTAAGCAGTATGTAGCCAAATTCTTTTACTTTTTAGTCTATTTTTCTAAATTAAAAATGAAACTCCACATCAGTTAATGATACGAGGGAAAACAAAATGTTGATATTTTGGTGAAAGTTTGAAACACCTTGTGGAATATGTTAAACCATCAAGAAATGTAGAAATCATTTTATCATCTAGATACATACTTTCTCGGTGGTTTGCTTTTTGGTTCATCTCATTAGCTTTATTTTTGTTGGAAATATTCGCTTTTGAAGAAGATACAAAATTTTTTCGTAATTTTTACATTAAGACCATGCCTTTGCTTTTGGGCCTAGCCAACACATCTAGTAAGTTCTGATCCCGAAGCAGGCCTTCTTGACATAAGATTTGCTTCATTTAATCTTCTTCTTATAGTCCGTTAGTTAATATGTACGTTCCGTAAGTGCAATTCATTATCAATTTGAAAAGATGGCGAACGGCGGTTTCTTAGCGATAAACTTACAATAAGTCGATCGTCTCGATTAGAAGTTATAATACGAAGGTTCCTGAAAGTCTAAATTGACGTCCTCATGGACTTGGTCTTAATTCAAAAACCACTTAATATACTCTATGGTATTAAGATATTTATGAAACCGGAATTTTATAGCAAATTCACTGAACTAAACAAATATAGATATATATTTGACTCACCCTGTATATCCATAAAAATATTTTTTGAAATAGGAACTACCATTAAACACATATTTTGTAAAAAGTTTGAAGTGAAAATCTCAAATAGGAATCCTGATAGAGAGCTTTTCCGGAATGTTCAGCCATCTTGTATGTATGCATTTGTATGTGTGTTTATTTAAATACTAAAGTGAAAGCAACGAATTTAAATGGGTAAACTTTGTAATATATCTTATTAACAATACAATGCAAAAAGTTTTATAAAAATTCGTTCACAGCAAATGAATTCCGAGGTTTGTATCCCATAAGGGCTTAAAGCACTCCAGTATTAGTATCTACCATTATTTATAGTTTTTTTATAACTACTAGCCTATAAATAAATGTATACCTATGTTTTTATGGTTTTTAAGTATATGTTTACATTTTAATTGAACTTATTTTATTTGCTACTGACTTTTTCATTTAACTATATCCAGTATCAGCATTTTTTAAATATTAATTTATGTATTTAAATTTTAAAATATGATTCAATAATTATTTTCTTTTTTATTTAGAATTGAGAAAATCTGTCAATTTGTTGGCGTTTGCTAAGGTGAAAAGTGTGTCTAAGCTAGATCCAATGGCTAGGGCAATGTATAATAGAGCTGATTGTCTAAGAAAAACCGCTAAAAAATTGGACCAGAAGTGTACTAATCTACAACTAATAATTAAACATATCCTCCATATGTTTAATTGTTTGTAGAATTGTTGTAGAATGACTACAATGACTGTTGCTCAGTCACTCCAAGCATGGAAACCTCCAAATTTTCGGCTTCAAAAATTCCGGACAAAATGGTAAAGGCACTGTAAATGTTAAGGGATTATCTCCCCCAAGACAGTAAGAAATTGAGAAACCTGATAATGAAGTATCAAGATGTGTTTGATAAAGGAGAAGCAGGACAGAGAGATCGTACCAATTTAGTACAACATAAAATTGATACCGGAGATGTATCACAAATGAAACAAAATCGACTTTCACTCGCCAAACGTGAAGATACTGACAAAATTCTTCGAGAAATGAAGAAGAGGGTGTCATTGAAGCATTCGACAGCCGGTGGATATCGCCGGTAGTACAACAAAGAACAGAAGAATGACGGTACCACCAGGTGCTGATTATCGGTTGTTACGTGTTGATTATAGGCAGATCAATAATGTTACCAAGAAGGATAGCTATCCCCTGCCGAAGATAGACGATACTCTAGACACGCTGGCGGGGTCGACAATATTCTCTACCTTAGATCTGAAGAGTGGTCAATGGCAAGTCGACATGGCGCCGAAAGGTAGAGAGAAGAGAGTATTCTCGGGAGGCTCTGGACTGCGGCAATTTACCGTTATGTCCTATGGATTGTACAACGCGCCAGCAACCTTTGAAAGACTAATGGAGTCTGTGTTAAAGGGACTATCCTGGACTACCTGTTTAGTGTGCCTGGATGGCATTATAGTGGTTGGAAAATCATTTGACGATCATCTAAATAATCTGGAAGAAGTTTTCAAGCGACTAGCGAGCTCTGGTTTGAAACTTAGCCTCAAGAAATGTCATGTGTATCAAGGAAAGGTACACTACTTGGGTCATGTGATCTCCTCCCAGGGAGTGGCAGTGGATCCACAGAAGACTAAGATAATGGAAGAGTGGCTGATAGCCAAGGACAAACATGAACTACTGAACTTTTCTTTTTTTTACGAACAGATCAGCGGCGTGCAATCCATGGAAGCAAGGGAAGTGGTGCTTCTCCCAAACAAATTACAAAACATCATCTTCTAAAATGTAATTTTTGAAACATGGAACGATTCATTTGGTTTATATTAAAAATGCTAAAGCATTATCTTAATTATCATGCCCGTAACAAATGCGGCCGTGACTCCGACCGAGCAACAATAGAAAATCCTATAAAATCTAACCGGGCGCTAGCTTTTATGCAGCATCATATGCATCATAATCGCAATGACCCTGAATTATTATTCAACGAAGGACAAAAAGCTTATCCTAAGAAATTTGTAAGACAGAAAAACGCTGACAAATTCCACAAACCAGTAAACTTAGATTAAGTTGATTTACCAAGAAAAACAGCGACAAGTAAAACACGTGGAAAAATACATTTAAGTAATCTAAAACGTCTTCGGAAACATAGGTATAGTTTTAATAATTAGTTCTCATATATATTTTCAGAATCCTAACATCAGGACTTTGTCTCGGACAAGAAAAAATTCTCTTCAAACAGTTAAATGACAACCCCGGATAATTCCGATGAAACTTGGAACGGAAAAATTACGGCAAAGCTCATTTACGCTGATTCATTGTTATGACTTAGATCCTTTAATATTTGAAATAAATACACTTAATATAAAAGGTAGTAATTTAACTTTGTTAATAAAACCAAAATAAAAATT